TATTTATAAAAACATCATCTTTTGAGCCGAGACCAGTTTGGCTCAGTGGATAGAACATTGGCCTACTGACTGAAAGGTCCCAGGTTCGATTCCAGTCAAGGGCATGTACCTTGGTTGCCAGCACATCCCCAGTGCAGAATGTGCAGGAGGCAGCTGATCAATGTTTCTCTCTCATTGATGTTTCTAACTCTCTATCCCTCTACTTTCCTCTCTGTAATAAATCAATAAAATATGTTTCAAAAAACACCATCTTTGGGCTTATTAAATAACATTTAAAAAATTTTATTGATTATGGCGGAAACCAGTTTGGCTCAGTGGATAGTGTCGGCCTGTGGACTGAAAGGTCCCGGGATCCATTCCGGTCAAGGGCATGTACATTGGTTGCGGGCACATCCCCAGTGGGGCGTATGCAGGAGGCAGCTGTTCAATGATTGTCTCTCATAGATGTTTCTAACTTTGTATCCCTCTCACTTCCTCTCTGTAAAAAAAAAAAAAAAAAAAAAAAACAAAACAACTCAATAAAATATATTTCTAAAAAAATTTTTTTAAAAGGTAAATGTTATTAAGACACATTATACAAATATAAAAATGTATTACCTAAATCCAAAAGGAACACAATGAGTGAAATTCTAACATCCATATTTGTCATTCCATTGTCTTTTTATTCAACAAAATTGGGAAAACTAATAAAACACGAGGCAGAACGTATGATCAGAGATTTTAGCAAAGATACAGACACAGCAAATATATATCTGTGAAAAGACTCACCATAAATTTCTAGAAAAAGCACAATCAAGCAGTGAGGGGGCATGAGGAACATACATAATAAAATGTTTAAATAAAGAATGATTGACCATCCGAAACCGATTTGGCTCAGTACATAGAGTGTCAGCCTGCGGAATGAAGGGTCCCGCATTCGATTCCGGTCAAGGGCATGTACCTTGGTTGTGGGCACATCCCCTATAGGGGACGTGCAAGAGGCAGCTGTTCGATGACTCTCTCATGGATGTCTCAAACTCTCTCTCTCTCTCCCTTCCTCTCCGTAAAAGATAAAATAATATATATATATATATATATATATATATATATATATATATATATATATATATATATATATATAAAGGATGATTGACCAAACCAAATATTCTCTAAGATGTGAATTCCTCACACACTACTGGAAAAATGTAAAACACTACAATCAGTTAAGGTTTATTTTTTTAAAACAATCTTTATTGCCTATTACTATTAGCACACCATAGAGGTTGGCAATTGGTTGGGTCATCCCTTCAAATTGAGACATGCTCCTAGACACTGCTATTTGTTTTTAAAATTAGTTTCTTATTGATTTTAGACAAGAAGGGAGAGGGAGAATGAATCATTGATGGCACCTCCTGCACACCCACTACTGAGGATTCAGCCCCCAACCCAGACATGTGCCCTTGGCCGGAGTCTTATCTGGGTCTATTAAGTTCACATACTGACCCTCAAGCCATTGATCCAAATATGATAAAGGTTTATTTTTTATTTTCAAAGGATAGTTTATTGCCCTAACCCATTTGCCTCAGTGGACAAAGCGTTAGCCTATGGACTGAACGGTTCCATGTTAAATTGTGGTCAAGGAAATATACCTTGGTTGCAGGCAACATTCCCAACACTTGTTGTGCAGGAGGCAGTTGATCAATATTTCTCTCTCATGAGTGTTACTAACTCTCCCTCTCTCACTCTCCGTGAAAAAAAAATCAATATTTTTAATTATAGTGTACTCATTTTTATAGAGAAGTGAAAGGGAGAGAAACATTGATGGAAGAGTGCCACATTGGCCAGCGACTTACTCACACTCACTACTCTGGACCAGAAGCACAAATTAGCACATATCCCTAGTGGAAATCAAATCCACAACACTGTGTTGTAAGAGATGATGGCCAAGCACTGAGGCATACCTCATAGGGCGGGGCTGAAAGGAAGCCAAGGCTGTCGGCTCCACCCTGAAACTCTGCCCCATCCAATCTGAGCACAGAGGCTTTTGCAATTTTCCAAGAATTGTCGAATAAGGGGTAAAGAAGAAATGGGGAGAGGTCAAGGAGGGGAAAAAGCAGACATACGTACTATTTGTAATGCTTCAAAAAATAAAATAAATAAATAAAAGACTTGTAAAATAAGGCTGTCTACTATCGTAGACACAGCTTATACTTACAGTCAATTGTCATGGAGGTCAATTTCTCCCAGTTATACCAACAACAATCAAGACTTAACTACAACAATACTGTAATCACAGTGCACAAAGGGATGCACCAAGAGTGTCCACCTCAGGTAAAGGGGGAGGCTGAGATACCTAGGATAACAAGCTACCCTACCAATTCAGGGAAGCAGCGAAAATACAGAGACAAAAAAAATATATATATATACACAAAAGAAATGGAGGAAAACAAAAGACTAGATATACAGGTCAAAACTACGGTTATAAGGTTTTTCAAGAATTTCCTAGAAAAGGCCGAAACTGGTAGGGCTCAGCGGATAGAGCGCCGGCCTGCAGACTGAAAGGTCTCAGGTTCGATTCTGATCAAGGGCATGTACCCTGGATGCCGGCACATCCAAGGTAGGGGGTGTGCAAGAGGTAGCTGATTGATGATTCTGTCTCATCGATGTTTCTGATTCTCTAACCCTATCTCTTCCTATATGTAAAAAAATCAATAAAATATATATGTATATATAAAAAAAGAATTTCCTAGAAAAGGCTGATAAATTTAGCGAGACTCTCGAGGATGTGGTAAAGGACCAACTAGAAAATAAACATACACTGACTGAAATAAAAAATATTATACAAACACCCAACAGCAGGCTAGAGGAACGCAAGAATCAAGTCATACATTTGAAATGCAAAGAGGCTAAAAACACTCAAACAGGAAAGCAAAAAGAAAAAAGAATCCAAAAATTTGAGGATCGTGTAAGAATTCTCTGGGACAACTTCAAGTGTACCAACATCCAAATTATGGGGGTGCCAGTAGGAGAGAGAGAACAAGATATTGAAAACCTATTTGAAGAAATAATGACTGAAAACTTCCCCCACTGGTGAAAGAAATTGACTTACAAGTCCAGGTAGCGAGCAAAACCCCAAACAAAAAAAATCCAAAGAAAACTACTAAGACACATCATAATTGAAATGCAAAGAGCAAAAGACAAAGAGAGAATATTAAAAGTAGAAAGAGAAAAAACAATTAATTACCTACAAAGGAGCACCCATAGGATAGTCAGCAGAAACTATGAAGGACAGATGGGAATGGCAAGAAATATTCAAAGTGATGAACAAGAACCTACAAAATTATTCTACCCAGCAAAGCTATCATTCAGAATTGAAGGTCCAAATAAAGAGCTTCACAGAGAAGAAAAAGCTAAAGGAGTTCATCAACACCAAACCAGTATTATATGAGTTGCTAAAGGTATTCTTTAAGAGGAAAAAGAAAAAGGTAAAAATAAAAATTGTGAACAAATACCTATCTATCAACAAGTGAATCTAAAAATCAGCCTTAGCTAGTTTAGCTCCCTGGATAGAGTGTCCGCCTGAGGACTGAAGGGTCCCAGGTATGATTCCAGTCAAGGGCATGTACCTTAGTTGCAGGCACGGCAGTGGTTCAATGCTTCTCATTAGTGTTTCTAACTCTCTTTCCCTCTCCCTTCCTCTTTGTAAAAAATCAATAAAATATATATTTTTAAAAATCAAGTGAATTAAAAATCTAATTAACAGAATAAACTGGTAAATATAATAGATTCAGGGGCATAGAAAGAGAGAATACTGAGAGTTCTCAGCGGGGGAAAGGAGTGTGGGGAATGCTGCAAGAGACTGGACAAAAATTGTACACCTATGGATGTGGAAAGTGGGAGGTAGGTGAGGGCCAAAGGTGGGTTGGGAACCAGGTCAAGAGAAGCTATGGGGGTTAAAAAAAAAAAAAAAAAAAAAAAAAAAAAAAAAAAAGGAACAATTGTAATAATCTGAAAAATAAAGATTAAAAAAAAAAAAAAAAGATTACAGAAGTCTTAGGAAAAATAGTTCATTATTTTGCACAGAAAGAAACCAGAAACTGGCAGTTCTCCCACTGATGGCTTAAGACATTCAATAAGTTCATCATTAACATCTAGAGAGAGGATGTCCATGAGAATAGCAATTCTTCTGCAACATTATGTTTAATGGGGCCAACATGACCAACACTTATCAGTCCTATGAGACAACTCATGACAGGGAAACAAGAAATAATGGCTCAGGTATTCCTAATTTTCTCCAACAAATTGGAAAACAGAGTTAGCTTCCCTGGGTACATGAGAATGCTGATTGATGCCGTCGGTAGGAACCTTATAGGAAGTTTGGGTGAAATACCTTCAGCAACCAAAATATGCTGTGACATAGATCTGTCTGGACATCTCTGTATGTTAGAAAGTGCAACATAATTACATAGTGTCCCAACATGAAAACAAACACAACAGCAAAAACACTATTGGGAACTTTATATAACATATTGTAGGTGATTAAATGTTTGAGATACAATTCAGAAAAATGAGGATTCACAAATTTTCTTGTTCTATTGGAAAGTTATAACTAAGAAATTACATTTCCTACACATCTAAGAAATTTCTCACATTTTTACTCTTATGCGGAGAGCAAATTTAGAAATTTGGTGGAGAGATACATCACATTAATTGCACTTATAATGGCTTTCTCCAGTGTGAAGTCTCTGATGATATTAGAGACCATTGCTGCTTGTATTAGTTTCCACATTCACTGCATTTATAAAGCTTTTCTCCTGCACGAACTCTCTGATGTTGATGAAGGATGTTCTTAGAGGGAAAAGATTTCCCACATTCATTTCATTTATAAGGCGTTTCTTCTGTATGAAGTCTGCAATGTTTACAAAGATCACTACTCTGGGTAAAAGACTTGCCACATTCACTGCATTGAAAAGGCTTTTCTCCAGTGTGTATTCTTTGATGATATTGGAGACTACGGTAATTTGTAAAAGATTTTCCACATTCAGTGCATTTATAAGGCTTTTCTCCAGTGTGAAGTCTCTGATGATGGTGGAAACCAGTGATACTTCTAAAAGATTTCTCACATTCACTGCATTGATAAGGCTTTTTTCCATTGTGAACATTCTGATGGTATTGGAGACCAGAGCTCCTTGAAAAACATTTTCCACAGTCAGTGCATTTATAAGGCTTTTCTCCAGTGTGAACTGCCTGATGATAGTAGAGATCACTGCTATTTCTAAAAGATTTCTCACATTCACTGCATTGATAAGGCTTTTCTCCTGTATGAACTCTCTGATGTTGACGAAGGTTGCGTTTAGAGGAAAGACATTTTCCACATTCACTGCACTGATAAGGCTTTTCTCCAGAGTGAACTCTGTGATGAGAATGAAGGGTATTGCTCCGATTAAAAGATTTTCCACATTCACTGCATTTATAAGGCTTCTCTCCTGTATGAATTCTCCGATGACGATGAAGTTGACTAATATGGGAAAAAGATTTACCACATTCACTGCACTGATAAGGCTTTTCTCCAGTGTGAACTCTATGATGATATAGGAGACTACTGCTATGTGTAAAAGATTTCCCACATTCACTGCACTGATAAGGCTTTTCTCCTGTATGAACTCTCTGATGTTGACGAAGGCTGCGTTTAGAAGTAAGACATTTTCCACATTCACTGCACTGATAAGGCTTTTCTCCAGTGTGAACTCTCTGATGTTGACGAAGGCTGCTTTTAGAGGTAAGACATTTTCCACATTCACTGCACTGATAAGGCTTTTCTCCAGTGTGAAGTCTGTGATGAGAATGAAGGGTACTGCTCTGTTTAAAAGATTTCCCACATTCACTGCATTGATAAGGCTTCTCTCCTGTATGAACTCTCTGATGTTGATGAAGGATGTGTTTAGTGGTAAAACATTTTCCACATTCACTGCACTGATAAGGCTTTTCTCCAGTGTGAACTCTCTGATGATATAGGAGTCTACTGCTATATGTAAAAGATTTCCCACATTCACTGCATTGATAAAGCTTTTCTCCTGTATGAACTCTCCGATGACAACAAAGATTACAGCTAGGGCTGTAAGCATTCCCGCAGTCAATACATTTATAAGGCTTTTCTCCAGTGTGACCTCTCTCACGACAATGAAGGTTACTGCTATCGGTTAAAGATTTCCCACAGGCTTTGTACCCATAAGGCCTTTCTCCTTTGTGCACACTGTGCTCATAATGGAGGGCACTGCTACTGGTAAAAGCTGTTCCACATTCACTGTGCTCATAAGGCCTTTCTCCAGTTTGAAAAGCTTGGTGATTACCTACGCTGTTAGTACTGCTAAAAGCTTTCCCAAATTCACTGCAGTGAGAAGGCCTTTCTCCACATTCAGAGCTAACAAAATACTGACTTCCAACATAGATACCTTTTTCCTGACTCAAACTAATGTCTTCCTTACATTCTTTTCTGGTGTAATCATTTTTTCTGCTTTCAAACATCATCCCACACGTCTGAAAAGCATATGGAATGTCCCAGTTCTCAGTAACCTTTAGATGGAGATGTCCTGACCCGGTGAGGACACCCTGCCCAACCTCCCTGCATGTGAAATAATTCTGGGACACATTGAATTCAGGGCTTTTTACAAGTGAGATCCTGTCCTCACTGCTAATGAAAGTCTTCTGTCTCATATGCTGTTGGTGAAATTTTACTATAAAGTAAAATTGTTTTACACATGCGCCACACCTCAACAGTATCTGTCTGTGCTGTGTTCCCTGTAGATCAGTCACGTTGAAAATGTTTCTCAAGACGAGCTCACAACTCTCACAGGGGTGGCTCTTCTGGGTAGACAAGGCTACCTTGGGATTCCTTGCCTGCGACACTCTTATAGAAACCTTCTGTTCAGTCAGGGCCTCATCATTCTCAGCTCCACAGCAGCAACCTAAACAAAAGGAAATACATGTTGATATTATGCAATAAGAACATCTTCACTACAAATATTTATTGGTTATGTCTAGGCATGATTCCATAGAAAGATTTTCAAGATAAGTGAAGTACACTCAGAGGAAATCGCTCTTAATTAAAGTATATAACCTGGTCAGTCAATGATGAAAATCTCACCAATGAAGCACAGAAGCACAGGATGGGATATAAAGAAGAGAGGAAGGCTCTACTCATTGTCCTGCACAAAGGCTATTTTGGGCACCTTACATGCTGGCCTGTGAGTCTGTGTAGAATCATTAGAAGGTGCTCAAAGACATAAAAATCAATTGTATTAGAGTACATGAGGATCAACATCTACATAATAATTCTTGTACACTCCAAGGTGGTGCAGGCACAGTCAAATGTTGGTTTGCAGTAAAGAGAGACCTAAGAAAGAGGCAAAGGTGCAAAGTCCAGAGAGTTTAAGGTTATCCTTGTGCTGTGAATCTTGGTAGAAATGATCACTATTCAACTTGTGTAGTTAGCAAAGTATCAATAATAACAAAAAAGCATAATTGGATAAGAACTGGGCAACAGTAAGAAAACACTGATGAATAAAACAAGTTTCTAGCCAAAACTGGATTGTCTAGTGGATAGAGGATCGGTCTGAAGACTGAAAGCTTTGAATCCGGTCAAGGGCATGTACCTGGGTTGCAGGCATATCCCCAGTAGGGGGTGTGCAAGAGGCAGCTGTTCGATGTTTCTCTCATCGACGTTTCTAGCTATCTCTCTCCCTTCCTCTCTGTTAAAAATCAATAAAATATATTTAAAAAAAACAAAAACAAAACAAGTTTGTAGTTATAAATGTAATAAAGGCCAGGCATGAATGGTTCCCCATTCACCTTCACCAAGGCAAGCCTGCCTGTAGGTCCACTGTGCCCTTCATAAAGTCACGTTTCTTCTGTGATGCACAAATGATGCTTCTGCTTAAATCCCATTTGAGCCATTGCATGGGATAAACAATGCAAATCTTCAAAGAAAAACAGAAAAGTTGGATGGCCAACACTGTGGTAGAACAACAAAGGACAAATGAGATCACAAGCAAAAGACCTATGTGAGTGACATCAGCATAATGGCAGGATTGCAAATATGAGCATCTCCCCCATCCCAGAGTAAGCAGACAGCTATCCATGAACAAAGCTTCCCACAGGAAATGGGAATAAAAGTACCATTACAGAACACAAATAAAGGGGAACTGCACCGAAAGGATGACAGGAAAGACCGGGTGAACAACCATACTTAAAGATAGATACCTACAGTCAAAAACAAGGGTCCTACAGTAGGCTATGTGCTTCTGCTATAATTGGCTATATTGGCTTCTTAAAAAAATACTGAATATCATTGTGTTTAAAAACCAAAGAATGCCTTGGCCAGTGTGGCTCAGTTGGTTGGAGCATCGTCCTGTATACCAAAGGGTGTTGGATTCAATTCACAGGCAAGACATATATCAGCATGTGGGTTCCATTTCCAGTTAGTGTGCAGAAGGCAGCTGATTGATGTTTTCCCCTCACACTGATGTTTCCCTCCTTCTCTCTCTTTCTCCTTTTCTCTTGCTCTTTATCTGAAATCAATAATAAATAAACAAATAAGAATGAAGTCTCAAAGTACATAAAAAGAAAACTTACCAAAATTCATGTATAAAATTCAGGAAATTTTCTAAGAGGAAATTTTATAGAGATAAATGCTTCCATTAGGAAAACAGATCTCAAAAAAACCTAATCTGCCATCTCAGTAATCTAGAAACAAAACAAAAATGTAAACTCAAAGGTTTCAAATGAATGAAACAATACACACTTGAAGAAGCATCAATAAAACAAAGATAAGATAAAAGGATACCTGAGAGGAATTTTCTAAAAAATACAAAAATTGGCAAACCTTGAACTAGACTAAAGCAAAAAGAAAACAAAAAAAAACAAACAAAAAAAGCCTCAAGAAAAATGAGAGGAGGATCCAAGATGGCTGCACAGGTAAACACCTAACCGCAGCCACATACAACAATTTCAATAAAGTACAACTAAAATATAAAATGGACATTGCCCAGAACTACAGGAATGTCGACTGGCTGGAAATTCTACAATAAGAAGGAAAAAGAAAACCAGAAGGAAAGTCAGAGGAGCTGTAAAAGCCTAAGGTACGGAGACACGCTGCACACGCAGAGAAGATAAACCCAGAGAGGAGGGGAGGCCGAGTGTCTGGCTGACGTTCCCTAGTGGGAAGGAGATAAAAGCTCCGGATTATGCCGAACCCCAGTTCTAGGCCAGTCCCTGAGGACCCAGGCTCAAACAGATGGAGCCTGAGCTGTGAGGCGGAATCCCAGGGGAGTAGCGAAAGGCAGAGCGCCCAGAGGTGTGCACATTACGCGCAGAGGACAGACTGTTGACTCTGCTGACAGATTGCCCTAGCGGGAAGGAGACAAAAGCTCCGGACTGTGCTGAGCCCCAGTTCCAACTGCTCTGAACCCCAGATTTAGGCCAGACTGTGGGGACCCAGGCTCATCAAGAGGGAGACTGGGCTGTAAGGCAAAAACCCAGGGGAGCAGCGAAAGACAGAGCCCCCCAGAGGCGTGCACATTGTGCGCAGAGAAGGGACAGTTGGCTGTGCCGCGGGATTACCGTGGCAGGAAGGAGACAAAAGCTCCAGACTGCTCTGAACCCCACTTCCAACTGAACTGAATTTAACCCCAGTTCTGGGCTCATTGGGGGAAAGACTAGACTGTTTGGTAGCAGGCGAAACTCGAGGGCACCTCACTCTCAGAGGTGCTTGCAGTGAGTACCGAAGACCCTGAGAAACACTGCGACTCAGGAGCTGCATAGGGCATGGCTGACGTGGCTGACAGAAGCCAAGGCTGTAGGCTCCACCCTGAAACTCTGCCCCATCCAAGCTGAACACAGAGACTTTTAAGGCTACCAACTCAGGGAAGCTGCAAAAATGCCAAGACAAGGAAATAGGTCACAAACGAAAGAAATGAAGGACAAAAAGCAACTGGATACAGAGTTCAAAACCACGCTTATAAGGTTTTTCGAGAATTTCCTAGAAAAGGTCGATAAGACCTATGAGGATATGAAAAGGGATCAATTAGAAAAAATAAGGAATCAACAAGAAATGATAGGGATCAACAAGAAATGATAAGGGATCAACAAGAAATAAAGAATACATTGTCTGAAATAAAAAATATTATACAGAGTCCTAAAAACAGAATGGAATATTGCAAGAATCAAGTCAAAGATTTGGAACATAAAGAGCCAGAAGACACTCCTCCACAGAAGCTAGAAGGCAAGAGAATCCAGAAAATTGAAGATAATGTAAGAAACCTCTGGGACAACTTCAAGCGAACCAACATCAGAATTATGGAGGTCCCAGAAGATGAGAGAGAGCAAGATATCGAAAACATACTGAAAGAAATAGTGACAGAAAACTTCCCCCACCTGGTGAAAGAATTAGACTTACAAGTCCAGGAAGCGCACAGAACTCCAAACAAAAGAAATCCAAAGAAGACCACACCAAGACAAATCATAATTAAAATTCCAAGAGCAAAAGACAAAGACAGAATATTAAAAGCAGCAAGAGCAAAGCAGGTATTTACCGTATTTTTCGGACCATAAGACGCACTTTTTCCCCCCCAGAAGTGGGGGGGGAAAGTCCCTGCGTCTTATGGTCCAAATATAGCCTACACATATACTTTAAAAAAAAAGTTTTTTTACTTGCCCGGTTCTGTGTGGTCTCTGTGTGCTTGCCTGGCTCTAAAATGGTTCTAAATGCTGCTGTTTACTTTACAGGGTTGATTACATGTGTTTATGACTGTGATGTTGGGTTTTAATGCACATAAAATATTTTAGGACACTATCTGTTTCAGAATCTTTTTTTCTTCATTTCTCTTCTCTAAAAACTGGTGCGTCTTATGGTCCGAAAAATACGGTACCTATAAAGGAGCACCTATACGATTGTCAGCTGACTTCTCAACAGAAACCATGCAGGCCAGATGGGAATGGCAAGAAATATTCAAGGTGATGAATAGTAAGAACCTACAGCCAAAGATAACCTACCCAGCAAAGCTATCACTCAGAATCGAAGGCCAGATAAGGAGCTTCACCAATAAAAAAAAGCTAAAGTAATTCATGAACACCAAACCAGAATTATATGAATTGCTTAAGGGGGTTCTTTCAGAAGAGAAAGTAAATAAAGATAAAAACTATGAACAACAAATATGTAACTATCAACAAGTAAATCTAAAAACCAAAAAAATTTTAAAAATCTGATGAACAATATTAACTGTTGAATATAATAGAATCAGAGGTATGGAAGAGGAGTAAACTGACGATCCTAGGGGAAAAGGGGAAGAGACTGAACATAAACTGTGCACCTATGGATAAGGAAAATGAGGGGTGGGGAAACGGCAGAGGGTGGGGTGGGAACCTGGAGGAGGGGAGGAATGGAGGGGGGGAAAAAGAGGAACATTTATAATAATATGAACAACAGCCGAAAAACAGTTTGGCTCGGTGGATAGTGTGTCGGTCTGCGGACTAAAAGGTCCCAGGTTCGATTCCGGTCAAGGGCATGTACATTGGTTGCAGGCACATCCCCGTAGGGGGTGTGCAGGAGGCAGCTGGTCAATGTTTCTCTCTCATCGACATTTCTAGCTCTCTATCTCTTTCCCTTCCTCTCTGTGGAAAATAAATAAAATATACAAAAAAAAAAATAAAATAAAAAAATAATATGAATAAAGATTTATTAAATAAAAATTTAAAAAATGAAAATGAAAGTTAAGAGAAACTGGTTAAGATCCTATTTGAGTTTCTGAAATACATAAACAAATGCAGAGCCCTGGCCAGGTAGCTCAGTTGTTGAGTATGTGCTCCCGATGCACCAAGGTTGTGATTCAATCCTCCATCAGGACACATGTAGGGGACACCCAATGATTGCATAGATGGTAAAACAGGCGATCAATGTTTACTATTGATCTGTATACCTTCCTGTCTCTAAAATCAATACAGAAAGGCTGCCCAGTGCAGGTCGGTGATTGAGTATCGGCCCATAACCTAGGACAGTGGTCAGCAAACTCATTAATCAATAGAGTCAAATATAATCAGTACAACGATTGAAATTTCTATTCAGAGCCCAATATTTTAAACTTGAACTATATAGGTGCATTGTTTTTTCTTTGTGTGTGTGTGTGTTTTTTTTATGTACATTGTTATTAATTTAATTAGGGTACTCCTAAGTTCGCCTTTGCTAAAAACTCAAGGGGCCAAATAGCCGCATGTGGCTTGCAAGCTACGGTTTGCTGACCACTGACCTATGACATTACAATTCCATTCCTTGTCAGGGCATATGTACAATATTTGGGCCCACTCTCCAGTGGGGGGCATGCAAGCGGCAGCTAATGAATGACTCTCATCTCATTGTTCATGTTTCTATCTCTCTTTCCTTCTCTTCCTCTCTGAAATTAATAAAAATATATACTGAAATTAAATAATTTAAAGAATAAATAAATAGCCTGGCCTGAGTCACTGAGTGCTGAGAGTGCCAGCATGCACACTGGAAGGTCACGGGTTTGATTCCCAGTAAAGGAAAATTACATGGATTTCAGGTCTGACACCCACTCTTAGTGGGGACAGAGGACACATGTGGGAGGCAACAAATTGCTCTCTCTCTCTCTCTCTCTCTCTCTCTCTCTCTCTCTCTCTCTCTTTCTCTAGGGCAGAGGACACATGTGGGAGGCAAATAAATTGTTCTCTCTCTCTCTCTCTCTCTCTTTGTTTCTGTCTCTGTCTCTCTCCCCCTTAAAAAACCAATCGATGGAAAATATATTCTCACTCTTCCGGTGAAGATAAAAGGAGAAGAATGAAATTCAGAAAAGTTGCCGGAGAGGAGATCCAAGATGGCAGTGTAGGCAAAAGCCTGTACTCACTGCCTCCCACAAGCACATCAAAATTACAGCTTAAGCCGAAACGGGTTTGGCTCAGTGCATAGAGCATCGGCCTGCAGACTGAAAGATCCCAGGTTCCATTCCGGTCAAGGACATGTACCTTGGTTGGGGGCACATCCCCAGTAGGAGGGATGGGAGACAGCTGATCAATGTTTCTCTCTGATAGATGTTTCTAACTTTCTATCCCTCTCCTTTCCTCTCTGTAAAAAAATAAAATATATATATATATATTTTTAAAAAGTATAGCAGGGATGCCAAAGCTCAGTGGCCTTGTGGACTGAGGAGTCCCGGGTTCGATTCCTGTTTGGGGTGCAGGAGGCAGCTGATCTATATTTCTCTCTCATCAATGTTTCTAACTCTCTCCCTTTCTCTCTGTAAAAAATCAATAAAATATACTAAAAGGAAAAAAAAGTATAGAAGGGCAGTGCAATCAAACCAACCCTGCCTATCACAGCAAAAACCTAGAAAACTGGACAAATCAAGCAATGTGTACAGTCCACAGGTGAGGAAAAAGCACCCTTAGAAGTGAGGGGGCATAAAAAATACAAAGACAAGACACAGGAACAAGACAGACTGAGGGTCTTACCCAGGGAAGATACAAGTTCAAAGTTCTCCAGCATCACATTCAGGTACAGATGCCTCTGACCCTCATCAAGGAGGCTCCATTCCTCCCTGGAGAAGTACAGGGCAATGTCCTCAAAGGTCACACCAACCTGTCAGAAAGGAGACAATTAAAACCATAGTAGAAATTTTGAGAACTAGCAAACCTACCCCCTACACATCCTCCTCACCCTCAACCTCCTCCAGGGCTGCCAGTTTAGTGTGGACACCAGGTCCTAATGCCTGTGTTGGTGCTTTCTTAAAGCAGTCGCTGTGGCTGCCCTCAGCACAACACATGGGTTGGGAAGGGGGACAGCAGAGAAACACCATCTAAGCTCTGGGCCATGCTTGCAGGGCCCCAGCCTTCCTGCCAAGCAATACCACTGCATTTTCCCAGATCATGCCTCCCAGACAAAGCCAAGGGTTTATGCTTCATCCTGTAGTCCTCATAGAGGCCCTGACTGGTTTGTCTCAGGGGACAGAGTTTTGAACTTTGGACTGAAGGATCCTTGGTTGGATTCTAATCAAGGACACATGCCCGGGTTGCAGACTCCATACACAGTACTGGGCTTCCAGAGGATGTCTACGGATGATTCTCTCTCATCAATGATGTTTCTCTATTTCTCTCTGGCCCTCTCCCTTCTGCTCTGAAATCTGAAATCTATAAATACACACACACACACACAGACACACACACACACACACACATTTTTTAAAGTCCCAATAACCATCAGCTTTCCAGTACCATCAGTTCACACTCCCTCCAGATGTGCACACCACTATGTAATGTCTCACCTCATCACAACTTCGGATCCCAGGTTCGGACCCCTGTGCTCCACAGCACAAGGTCTCTCAGAGCTCACCCAGAGGCATATGGCATCCAGAGAGTGCTTGAGAGGTTCCAGAAGGATCTGTAGCACAACCCGGTACCAGGGTTTAATGTAATTATATTAAATATAGCACAGCCTGGGGAGATCAGGGCTTTCGGCTCTGAAATCCTCCCTGCCCGTCTCTGACCTTGGATTCAATCCTCACCACCCACCTCCGCAGGGGAATTTCAGACACAAGTCACCCCTGTCCACTCTGCTCCGCACTTCCTGTGTCCTCAGAAGCCACCACGCTCCTCTCTCCGCTCTGCCTTCCTCGGGGTCCTTGACGGGGACGGAGCTGCAGGAGGGACAGGCGCGCTGACCCCGGGCTGCTGGGCGGAGGGTGCGGAGGCGGCGAGGGCAGGGGTGGTGGGAGGGGGGCGCGGACTCACCTCAGCGGAGCCCCTGAGCGAGGCCATGGCCGGGCCGCTGTGCGCGGATCTGGGCGGAGAGCGGAGCGGCCGGGAAGCAGCAGGGGCGCAGGGAGGGAGGGTAGGGTCTCTGCTCCGTCACGGACGCGGGAACCTGGGGCCTCAGCGAATTCCACTCACACGTGCGAGCTGAGCGGCGAGGACTCGGTATTCCCGCTCCGAGGACCCGCCTCTGCCGCTGCCGGCGGGAGCCTTCCACCTGAGGAACAATAGCCGCCCAGAGCGCACCGGAAGTCCCGCCCCTGAACGCGGGTGACGCAAGAGAAAGGCCTTTTCTGACCCTTCATTGGCTGAACTGGCGGCATTCCTCACAAGGCCTTCTGGGTAATGTGGGTCCAGCGTCCAAGAAGGTGATGGAAGGATTCTCCATATCAATCGAAGGGAAACATTGCCATCTGCTGGTCAGGGCACTGGGAAATGACCTTCCTCATGATGAAGACATCTTGAAAAGGGCTAAAAAAGAGTTGTTACTTTTCCTGGTAAAGGGACTGGAGTCCTTTATTTATTTATTTATTAATATATTTTATTGATTTTTTTACAGAGAGGAAGGGAGAGAGAGAGAGAGCTAGAAAGGTCAATGAGAGAGAAACATCGACCAGCCGCCTCCTGCACACCCCTGACAGGGGATGCGCCCGGAACCAAGGTACAGGAATCGAACCTGGAACCTTTCAACAGCAGACAAATGCTCTACCACTGAGCCAAACCGGTTTCGGTGGGACTGGAGTCCATTTTATGTAAACACATTATCTGTGAGACCAATGCAACTCATCATAATATAGACTGTATATTATACAGGTAGACTGTGGGGAAGGTATTTGAAATAAAGACCTAACATATTGTTGCGGGCGACCCGGGAATGATGACCACCAGTCAGCCAAATTGGAATTTAGGAAGCCTTTATTACGAACTCGAGTCCAAGCTCACATCTCAACTGACACAGCAGCGAGCAAGAAGACCTACGACCCACTGTAAGCATGCTACTTTTATCCCTGTCTTAGGGGTGCCTGGCAAATTATGATTGGCTAAAAGTTTTAACAAAGAAACTTCAGTTATAAGTTATAGAAAAATTCCACTAGTACAGTAACATTTAAAGCTTATACAACACCTGGGGTGGGAGGTTATTTTCAGCTTAAGCAGTCTATGTTTGACCTGGTTTGGTCTGTTCTGCCTTGTGGCTACTGAAAACAGGATGTGCCTGCCTGGGGGTTGGGCCTTGCAACAGAAATATTTTATGACTAACACTTATGCTTGGCTAAAGCGTATCATGCTACATTCTTTGTTGTAGGTCTGGTTGCTCGTTCCTTCCCTGGCCTGGAGCCCTGCCTCGACAGGGTCTTACTGGCCACAACAATATAAACTTTATTTTTTATAATAACTTTATTGTTTTACAGAGAGGAAGAGGGAAAGAGAGAAACATCGATGAGAGAGAAACATGGATCAGCTGCCTCCTGCACACACCCCCACTGAGGATGTATCCCCAACCAAGGTACATGCCCTTTACCGGAATCTTCCTGGGACCCTTCAGTCAGCAAGCTGATGCTCTATCTACTGAGCCAAACCAGTTAGGGCTAATATAAACTTCACATTGAATTCTGTTGTTTAATTTTTACTCAAACATCAATAAATACCAATACACTTTTGAAACACTGGGAGACTTGAATTCTGGGAATGTAACTGGTGTTTTTATTATGTGAAGATGCCACCCTAATTATCATGGTGAAAGTTAATTCATCCTTAGGGACATAATAAAGATGTCAGCAGAGTTGATGTTTCAGGCATTCTCAATGAGATAATATTGCAGAAATATTTACAAATTATACTTAAAATAAGTGAAATACATATTTATACTGAAAGATGATCTATGTATCTATAGCTCCAAAACTTTAAAACCACATGAAATATTATAAACAACAAATAGTGATAGGTGTGCATACGTGCAGTGAATCTTTAAAGTTCATAACTCTGTAAGAACCTTGTACTACTTAAAATTTAGGACCAAGTCTGCCTGGTGTGGCTTATTGTAGAGAAGCAACCTATGAAAGAGATTAGGGTTTGATTTCTGTTTTGGGTACAGAAGCCTGAGGTGTGGGTTTGAACTACACTGTGTGAGTGTGTTGGGGGGGAGAGTATGCAGGACGCTGACCAACGATTCTGTCTCATCAATTATGTTTCTATTACTTTCTCCCTTCTTCTCTGAAATCAATAAAAATCTACTTTTTAAAATTCAGAGCAAAACACGCACAGTGAAGTATACATCCAATTGGAACATGTCATAAAGCTTTAAAATGAAGTAATGTAGCAGAGGAGTTCGAAAAAATAATAAACAGGCTAGGGCTGGAAATAATTTCTAAATGAAAGTAACCTTCAGGACACTAAGACTGGCAGAATGATAGCAGAGGTGGTCAGACACTCTCAGCAAAGTTCTGACACAAACCCCTCCCTGGTCTGGCTCAGTGGATAGAGCATCAGCCTGAGGACTGAAGTATCTCGGGTTTGATTTCATACCAAGGACACATGCCTGCATTTTGCACTACATCCCCAGTAGGGGGAAGACTGTGCACAGGCCATGCATGATTCTCTCCCATCATTGATATGTATATCTCTCACTTCCTCCTTTAAATCAATTAAAAACAAATAATACATTAAAAATTTTTAAAGTCAATAGAAAAAAATATCCTCAGGCGAGGATTAATAAAAACTAAAAGAACTACAAAACTTCTGACTTGGGAACCCTGTGCAGGGCACTCTTGTCCATAAAACATCTTCATGATAAAATCAAATCTCCTTCTCACCTCCTTTCAATGTGGGCTTTAACATTCTCACATCCAATGCTAGTCATTCCTGTGTGATGCTCATTTCATATCCCCAACAGACCCATCACCCAATGATTCACTATCACATAGAATATTTTCTTTTTCGATGATCTCCTTCTTCTTACATACAGCCTTTGAACAAGCCTTGTAGGGAACATGTGGTTTTATGCACTGCTGTGTAACACAGACAAGTTCACCCTCAGAAGTAGATGGGATCCTTAGTAAATGATGGCAAAAGCTATGAAACATCATACTATGGCTTTCCTCCCACAGTTCTACATTTTTCTGGTAACACCATATTATATTTTCTCAACTATTTTCCCTCAAGTTATCATGAATAAGGAGGAAAAAGATGTTATGGTAGCAATATTTCAGCATAGCCATATCTAATGTTAATTCTCTCACCTCTTGGGAATCAGTGTTTTTAATTATGGCCTACTGATACCCACCTGTTGTCAGCTTCATAGAGCCTTTTTGTCTTCTAGGTATGTAAACACTGTTCATTGTATAACTCCATTAGGCCTTCCTATAGTTCGCTCTAGCAATATTCTCTTCCATTAATAATGTTCATTCTGAATGCAGACATTGGAACTGCATTAAAAGATGAAATAATTATTTCCAAGCAAGGTTGTGAGACCCTAGGATCCAAAATCATTTTCTCAGATGCAGATTCCCACGTTCCAAACCTTGAATGGTGCCAGCATTGTAGGCATCTAAACAACAAATAGTTTGGCTCAAATATGTAGAAAATAAAAGTAAGTCCTTCGGCTGAAACCGGTTTGGCTCAGTCGATAGAGCATCGGCCCTCGGACTGAAAGGTCCCGGGTTCAATGTCAGTCAAGGGCATGTACCTTGGTTGTGGGCACATCCCCCAGTAGGGGGTTTGCAAGAGGCAGCTGATCGATGATTCTCTCTCATCGATGTTTCTAACTCTCTGTCCCTCTCAATTCCTCTCTGTGTAAAATCAATAAAATATATTTTTAAAAAACAAAAACAAAAACA